GCCGAAGGCGCTCACTCGCCGCGTTGAATTCAAATGAGGAGTCCTCTGGTCAGTATCGAGATCAGCTACATTCCGAGCTCATTAAACAGTTAGCAATTCATTTGGACTGCCTTCTCCAATAAAGGAGCTAATATTTCAGGCTTATATCTGAAACAACGTACGTGCTACAATGTTCTAAACAGGGGTTCATTTGGCAAAAAGGAACCAGCGCGATTACAGTGCACTGGAAAACATCACACATTGGATCTAGAGTCTTGAAAACATTTACAAGAAAAAGGACTCTTGATTCAATCAGATTCAAGCTTACATCAAAAGGAAATCCGCTCAAATTGCGAGGCTTGGTTCTTGATTTAAGCTTAAATCTGATTGAATCAAGTGTATTTTTTCTTGTCGATGTTTCTAAGAGTCTGGACTCTAGATAGAATGTGGTTTTTTTTCCAGTGCGTTTTCAAAATCGTGGAAATTCTCTACGTGTATAGTTTTATTTCACTTTCGGAAATCCTCCCGAAATCCTTATTTTTCCTGATTTTGGACTGCGAAATCCTGATTACATAATTTTTCCAAATCCTGATCAAATCAAGATGTTAAATGTAACTTCACAAAAACAGCTCGATAAAAAAATCGGATCGAACGGCCGACTTTTCTCAAATCCTGGTTTTACGACCGATTTTCCCTCAAAGCCTGATTGACCTCAAATCCTGATAGAATCGGAAATATCTGTAAAATCCTAATGCTAGACACCCTGTTCTCCTATAGGTACTTTTAAAAATACTCAATATATGTACAGAATTGACATTTACACAACTAATTTCCTTTGAAATTGACAATTTTTTGGTGGGGAAGCAAATCTATTTGCTGTTCTCAGATTTTTTAGATAATGATGAAGAAGCAACATTTTTACATTACTGTAAACGCGCTGGCTCCTTTTCGCTGAATGCGATCCAAGAGGAGTGTGGCATTTACATTTCCACGGAAAAAATTGAATGTTGCTTCAGCATTTATAATGTTGAAAAATACGTGACAAGTATAAATGCTGATTTCACAATAAAAAAGCGACGTTGACTACGTCCACGGTTAAATGAACAAATTCAATGTTGAGTTGGAATTTTTTTAAATGTAAAATCAGCATTTGATACTTGTCGCACGTATTTTAACAGTATGAATGTTAAATCAACATTCAATTTTTTCTGTGTTGCAATGCGGAACTACTATTACTAATACTGGAGTACCTATAAGTATGTCGAGATATGGACTATGGAGCAGGAGGTCATAGAGTCCTAAAGGGCAGCCAACCTTCCAACACGAAAAACACTGGAAAAATACCGCTGCCAATCTTCAGATTTCAACATGGACGTATTTCTGCCAAACGGAGCTATGTGCATTATGACGTGAGCCCTGTTGTGCACACTGGAAAAAAAAACACATTGGATCTAGAGTCCAGACTCTTGAAAACATTGACAAGAAAAGGGACTCTTGATTCAAGCAGATTTGAGCTTAAATCAAAAGGAAATCCGCTCAAATTAAGAGGCTTGGTTCTTGATTTAAGCTTAAATCTGATCGAATCAAGAGTATTTTTTCTTGTCGATGTTTTTAAGAGTCTGGACTCTAGATCCAATGTGTTTTTTTTCTAGTGCATATATACTTATGGGTGTTAGGGGCTCATGGTCTTGATGCATATAGTTCCTTTTTTAGAGTTAATTTTGCAACCTTGGAGTCTCGTTTGGGAAACGACGGATTGGTCCTCGTCTCAGTTCAGTATTTAAAATGACTTTTCATGTAGATGCAATTTCCCGCTTTCGCAGGCCCACTCTCTTTGAGAAAAGGGCGAGACGCAAGGGACGCGCCGTTAAAAAGACAGGGAGAGCATCGAAAAGGCAATTTGGAGAGAAACTAATGGCCGAGCTATCTTAAAATAATCATAGAATCGAGTAAAGCTCCCGCGTGCGGATTAAGATTTTGGGTGCGGCGGAGTGTATAATAGGAAAGTTCCCCCGCTTGCAAACTTGCTCCGACAAAGCCCATCGGACTCTTGATTGGAGAATCAAAATTTAAAGGCGCACTTTGAGATGGGGCTCCCCGCAGACTCCTACTTACGAGTTTGCCCCGACGCGAATCGGCGGGCCCGCGATATTAACTGGACCTTCTCCTATTGATTTTGGTTTTAGTTCAGAGAGACAAGTTGAAATAGCTTTATCCAACCCTGAAAAAAATAGGGTGCCGATTGAACTGCCAGGACCGAGAGATAAGATTGTATCCGTCCGGTTTTCTGGATAAAAATAATATTGGATGGATCATATTCGATAGTGGTTCGGTGTATAGTTTGGTTTTCTGCCGTGGAAAAACGCCGTATTCGTACGTTCACGAGTTGCCAAAGTGCCCCGGATAAAACATGTATTTTTGAAGAAAATTATGCGTATTTTTTCTTGACATTTTCAGACGTTTTACATGAAATTGCGAACAAAATTTTCCGAAAAAATTGAAGAAAAATATTCACAACTTTCCTAGTAAATTAGGTTTCTATTGAAGGAAATATGATACCGTCTGAAAATTTTGATTTTTGAGAGGACAAAATTCGAATTCATGGACTGCCTTTAAACTTGGATTTTCATTAACTTTCCATCACCCTATGGAAACGGTAGACATTACATTGTACCTTTTAAAATATTTTATCTATTAAAGGTATCGTTCAACTAATTGAAACAAGCACAGGAAAAAAATCCATATTTTAGTCTTTATTGAAAAATTTTGAAACTAAAACAAAATAATAAACCTTTCGCCTTTATACGTACACATCCTAGATATACTGCCTCTCGAGAAACACACAAGAGGAAGAATATTCAATGAATCGAGATTCGCTAACGCATTCATTTTCATTCTCACTGAAGAGGTCCATATAATTGAATAAAAAAAATGATGTGTCATTTGTTCCCCATGAAAATAGACTACATTTGCATATTTACATTCAATTGTAGCTGAATCAAATCTTATGGATTTCACATTTTGTGACATTATGACACTTGCGAAGGGAGCTGAGATCAAATCATACGCTCCCCTCCTGTTCTGTGGAGCATCTGAGCGAAGAAAAATGCTAAAACTTACAAAATTCCTTCAAATCAATTAGTATGCAAACCAATGTCGGAGACAAGTTGAATAAGTTGCCTACATTCTGAACTGAAGGCACACTTATAGAAAAACGCGACCCAGATTTACGGACACGACAGCGCAGCGCTCGGAGACGGCGATGCTGCTAATTAGCATTCGAAACGCAATAAGTCTTCCGTCTAATCGAATGAAACGAAGAGAGAGACGGGGGGGGGGGGGAGAGAGGGAGGGAGAGAGAGTGAGAAACATTTCTTTTCGGCAGGGTAGAACTGGTTTTTCAAAGCTATAAGTGTCATCTTTAAGTGTATCCTTGGTTCTTAAATTTAGCTTTTCGGCGCTCTCATATGACCGTTTCACAGATTGATGGTAAGAGATAGAATCTCTTCTTTTCATGTAAAAATTGCTGAAATTTGAAACATCTCACGATCTATGAGGTAATAAGCAGCAAGATGAAGTTCAAAAGAATCCTGGAACTGAGTAAGCCTCAAAGTACGGAGGTAAATTAAAAGCTAAGACAATTTGCCATCTTCACTCAAGGTTAGACCGTACTCTCAGATTTTCGTACATTTTCTCCTATCCAATACTTATTCGAAGTAAAGAAAAAATTTGTGAGTGCAGAGATAGAATGAACTACATCTCGAATATTGAGTCTTATGAGGAAATAAAACTTCAGACCACCTTTCCTCGGTTCGATTTAGATTAGATTTAGTCCGAATCTGTTTTACTCGGTCCACACAGTACCTGATTTCGAACAGAACTCGCAGTCAGCGCTAAGACTCTTTAATTGAGCTCAAGTGAGTAATATCCATTTAAATTGAATCGAATTTAATGTTTGGCTGCTTCTTCTATTACTCCTTTTACTAAGCAGCGGTGAAACATAGTCTAGTTTTTCTACTGTGCACAAACACTAAGGCTAAATTCATTCCAACTTGAGTTTGGATGCAGTCCTACTGACTTATTGGGAAGGAGGGGGGGGGAGCTGCACCTATATTTCGGGTTTTCAATCAAGATTTTGAAATTATATCATTAAAGTGAAAAATCATGGAAAGACTCTTCCTGACTTTGAATCAATTAATTTATTGAACCGCAATTCGATTGGGCACGTGACTTTTAGGATCATGACACCCCCCCCCCTTATCGCCCAAGGGAAGTTGTAGAGGTATCTGAACCAAGAAAAGCGGATTCTTTTGAGTCAATGTCTTATTCAAACCCGCGGTCCCTGACTTCGCAAGACACAACCTAACAACCAAGGGAAAAGCCTGGTATAGGGTCTAAAACACCCTGTATATTGACATCAAGCTAATTGACTCAAGCTAAACATCATCCATTATGGCCACGGATCCTTCATTTCGTATTTGTATGATTTCTGTTCATTTTTGGGGTCGTCTAAATTACAACTAGAAGGTTAAAAGTGCTGGTTACACGCTCAAATTCCCATCAATTTCCGATCAAGTGGTGACATGGTGCGCACCATCTACCATCAAATTGCTGCGGCCTACAAAAATTTGATGGTAGATGATGGAACTGTGGGGCTCATCCTTCATCTGATTTCCACACAGCCGTATGCTTATTTCAACACGCTGTTTTAATTAATTTTACTAATCAATCTAGATAACTCTCGACCGCCATCTTGGTCATCATTTTAATTGAAATTTGACGGAAATTTGAGCGTGTAACCAGGCCACTAATGGACCTCCTGAGACAAAATAACTTGATGTTATTCCCGACTTGCTTCGTAAAAACTGAACAAGCAGCTTGTTTCTCTATTTGCGCCTTGAATCAGTTAATTGATTCTGCCACGAAAATTGTCTCAGGTCCAAAGGAATAATTCAAGATTATCAATCAAACGGAATTAAGGAGACTACTCATGCAAACTACGAATTTATTGAGGTACTCACGCAAATTTATCCATTGTGAATGATCCTTCACCCTCATTTCACGCATAAAAAATTCGGGGATAAAAAACACTTTTGCGGCAAAATAGCGTTCAGTCGCGCTGATCAAACGGTGTTTTGTTTTCTTTCCTCAAACAAAAATGTTTCGAGCGAATTGAGAAAACTAGCCAAGTCACTGATTCTAATATTCAAAAAAGGAATAGCCGAATTGCAGAGACTATTGAGAAGTACAAGTACCCGCAAAATTCACAACTGATATTCACAAACCACATTTTTAACTCTGAAATAATTTTCAAATACTTTATAAGCGCGAACGACGTAACGAATTAAAATAAACTATGTAAACGCCAACAACAGCGTAGCACCATTTGACTACGGAACTAGACGGAAAAATCAAAGCAACATTAATATCAAACAAATTTCAACGTCCGATGTGAGGAACATTAGAGTCGGCACGATTAGAACTTGAGAGATTTATGGATCAAATCGAGGGGAATCACACGACACGGCGGCAGTTCAAAGCGAGCGAAGCGCGTAGTAAAAAGTTAGCAGTTAGAATCAGTTTCAAACTGCGCATTCAAACAAATACGACGTAAAGCACGTATTTACACGTCACGTAGCGCAATAATCCTACCGAACAGGTTTAATTTTAACTTTACAGACGTAACATCCGTATCACGTTGAATTCAGAGAGATCAGTGATGGGAAGCTAGGGTCAATTGAGAAATATACTATCATCGTAAAGTACCATGATGTAACGCACCATAACGTGACCCTAACAGACGGTTTCAATGTATTATTCGTGACGCCACAGCCGAATCAGTTGAGTAAATGCGCCACGATTACCTAGAATCAGGTATGTGAGGTGAATTCGCGGTGAACTGAAAAGTTACGTGGCCTGATATAAAGTGTTAAACGGTCTTATGCGATTAACTTATGCGACAGTGAATGATTCCCTCTAACAGTTTTGGTTTAACTTCAGTTCACGAGGTGGCAGAATCAGTTTGAAATCCACTACGCAACAACTACGCAAAACGGCGGTAAAATTTAACAGGGCATAACGTAACATGAACACTAAGTATTTCCTTTAAATAGTTCTGATCAGATTTTGACCAACAGAAAACCGAAAAAATACGTGACGAGAAATAGGATTAATCGGAAAACTTATGTCACGTACAATTAAACGGAACGTGACGTAGATAGATACCAAATGGTGCTCCTGAATAGTTTTGATTTAATTATTTCTGACCGAGAAACCGAATCAGTTAAAAATTGAGCGCGCGCGTAGGGAGAAAAAAAGGTCAATCATAAAACGTACATTTACGTAAAACCAACCATAAAACTGTGAAACTTCACGTTACGTGACATAACGTAAAAACGTAACGTCAAACCTCAACCGGTGCACCATGGATTAGTCCTGATCTGATTTTTACAATCGACGGTGCCGAATCATTCTAAACCCAGATGAGCGGCCAATGAGAAGCTGGGATGCACACCGGAACGTACACTCAGCGTAACGTACACTCAGTGTAACGCACATTCAGCGTAACGTACATTCACCGTAACGTGCATTCACCGTTACGCGAACACTGAGTCGGCACACCACTAAGAAACTCCCCGGGTCGGTTCTAACTTGATTTTCACAGTCGATGGTACCAAATCAGTTTGAAACGAGGCTACAATCAACAGCCAAACGTGCATTTACGTCACGTAAGACTCAACCGAAAGTGAACATTAGACCGATGCCACGGAGCAGTCTCAACGATTGCGTGGGAGGAACGATGGTATCGCGAATGGAAAGAAGATCCCGACGAGAGCGGTGGTGGCGACGAACCAGGGATCCTTCTGGCGGCACGCGAGAAGGGACATGCGAGCGAGGTACGGTCGGCACGACTTACGCGGAGGAGAGACCCGCGGGTTGTGGACGTGGGTGACGGGACGGGAGCGCTCGGCCGTGTTCGGCGGGTTGCCGAGCAGTCGCGTGACCGGCGCTAGGCGCCCCCGCGGAGAGCCGACCCGCGCCGCCGTGTCCCTAAATGCCATATCTGTAGCCCTGGGGTCGCACTCACAGCCGTTCGAAAAACTGATCCTTTCCTTCAGAGTCCCCATATGGTTCATTTTGTGATGAAGAGAGGTTCGAGGAAACCCTCTCCGTAGCATCATAAAATCTGAGAGAAAATGGATCGCGCTCGGCAAAAAGGAACAAGCGCGATTACCGAGTTGTAAAAATGTTGCTTCTTCATAATTATCTAATGAATCTCTCAGAATGCCGCGATTATTCTGACGCGAGTTTGAATAATAAGCGCGCCAAACACATTGCGGCTAGAGGCCCTTTATACTGAGAGTCAAGACAACACCCCCTCGTGGAGTCACAAACGGGAATAAAGATTACACAAATTGAACGTTTTGCGTAATCTTTGATCGGCCCATTCTCGAATTCCTTTCTCCGTTCCTTCCTTCATTCCGACTGTTCCTTGTCGAACCCGTAATTCCTCGGCCCATTCCAGATTATAATCTTTGCAATTGGGGAAAATGGAATCTTTATTCCCGTTCGTGACACTGTGAAGGCATAAAATACGGCAACCAATCAGAAATGGATTCACATTGTCTTGACTCTCAGTATAAAGGGACTCTAATTGCGGCCAGCGTTAAACGCATATTGGCGCCTGCAAGACAGGAAGAATACTTCACGCATTGCGGCAAACAGTGCGGTCGGCGTTAAACGCATATTAGCGCCCGCAAGACTGAATGAATATTTCTCGCATTGCGCCTAAATGTAGTCGGTCAGTCAGTTGGCGCGGAACACTTATCAGCGCCATTAATTTCAGAGAGTTAAAATTCACAGGAACGAAAAACAACTATCTATCTACTACCTATCTTTATGTTGATGAATGTCGAATAAATTTCTTCGAGGCCATGTGGATCGCATTTAGCATGAGGGAACCAACACGATACAGGGTTGTAAAAATGTTGCTTCTTCATTATATTATCTAATGATTTTTTTAGAATAGCAGATAGTTTTTGCATCCCACCAAAAAATTGTTCATTTTAAAGGAGATAATTGTGTAAATTTTAATACTGAAATAAAGTATTTTTAAAAGAAAAGAAGAAGTTGCACGATTTTGAAAACACTGCAAACCTGCTAGTTTCTTTTGGCAAAATGGGATCCAATTAAGAGTCCACGTTGAATAGGGAAAGTGCGTGACCACCAGATCTTCCCGCGCTTTTTTCTCAGCCAATCAGACACCCGAGGACCCGTTTTCCATTCCCCATAGAAAATAACACGGGAAATCGAAACCACATGTTAATTTTGAATTCAGTCAATTTGTGGTCAAAAATAAATGTTAACGACTGACTTCTAGAGGATTTGGCGTTTCTATTGATGATTATGTTCTAGTTGCTCCAAAACACACCAAAGATCTTGATTTTTGAAATTTCTATTTTTTTCCACTTGGGTCGATGTCTTAGACTGTCTATTCAGCTCTCTGGTTAAGAACATGTTTTTGACAAAAATTAACCGAATTCGCAAAAACTATAAAGTTTCGATTTCCCATATTATTTTTCATACGAAATGAAAGAGTGGTCGTCTGGTGTCTGATTGGCTAAAAAAAAAGAGCTAGAAGATCTGGTAGTCGATTAAACGGTTGTTTTCGATTCGCCTTCAGCTGTGTCCACAGCAATTGTTGTTATGAATATGTTAAGCGTGCTGATAATAGCTCATTACATACTTGACTATTTTGAGGGATTTTTTGTACATGAGCAATTCGCCTTCAGCTGCGTCTGCAGCAATTATTATTCCTGATACGTCGTGCATGCTGGTTGTAGATCATTACATACTCGACTCTCTGAAGGCGTTTTGAGTGCGCAAGTAGAGCACTCTGTTGGAGAACGCCAGAGGTGAAATTGAATGAATCGCTCTATCTCTACTTCGTTCGTTCTCCAACAGACAGCGCTACACACGCACATAAAACGCCTTCAGAGAGTAGCGCAAGTAGAGCACTCTGTTGGAGAACACCAGAGGTGAAATTGAATGAATCGCTCAATCTCTACTTCGTTCGTTCTCCAACAGATTGCGCTACATACGTACGTAAAACGCCTTTAGTGAGAAGCGTATGTAATGAGCTAAAATCAGCACGCCTAACATATTTATAACAACAATTGCTGCAGCCGCAGCAGAAGACGAATTGTTCAGTCTAGAAAAGAGTATGATAGGAAGTTTGCTTGGAACGAGGGGGGTATGTATTCAATCGGACAATGATTCGATGGACAAATGAATACAAAATCTGATAAAAAACAGTAGATAACTTGCAGTTCCTATCACAATTTCAAATTGCAATGTCTTGAAAATAGGATCAGCCAAGATTTTGATTTTCCGCGATTTTAAGTCTCTGCCATATATTCACCCCCTTGCAAACCAATTTTGGGTACGTATTGTTACATTTTCTCCCGCTTCAAAACCACTGTGACATGTACATGCGTGTCCGTTGTTTCGTAATCTACGTAAAAAAATCACCGTAATTGAAATGTGAAGAATAAGAACACTGACATAAAAACTAAAATTCAAATGGAACTACAGAGAATGTGACGATTCACGAATGACTCCAGGAATAACAGAGGATCNGGGGGGGGGGGGGGGGCTGAATTCAATTATTTATCCTGTGAAACTTTTCCAATCTAAGAATCGGATATAAGATCTGTCTTCTTTCGTGTCATCATATATTTTTAATGATGTATTTAAAATTAAAATGACTTAAAATGATCACCGACATGAATACTTGATTGAATTCATGGAGTATTGGGTAGTAAAGAAATAACTGCCGATTTTTTGTCATAACTGAACCAGAACTCGCATGCAGTCATGCATTGTGGTACTCTTTAATGTCATTTTTTAATGAACCGTTGATTAGCTTTCCCGTCGCTGCACGAACTTTGCTAGTTAGCGCCTACTCGATTGACCTGAACGGAAGAGAACCTGCCGCGGTTCATAATTGGCCAGCTCTCGTTTTACAGAGACCTTCCTTTCCTTGTTAGTGGTGATCAATTTGAAACTCTAAAATTTATCCCGAAGTTGCCGAATTTAGGATCGGTGAATGTGTATCTTTACATCGTTTCGCGTTCCGTCCTTTTTCGCGTCTTTTTTTCTCTTTTTGGATTGAGCAATCTGTACACAGTGCGAGATAGCGACTACCTACGTGGACAAGTTTTTAGGTTTAAAGTGAAACAATGTTGGAAATTTTTTCCAGGTTGATCAAGTTTCTATGTTTGGTTACTCCGTGAAAATGTTGACATCCTATTATGATGACTGTTGATTTCTCGGAAGCTCTTCTAAAACATGACAGACTATCAACATAACCTTTAAAAGTTGCTTTCGGTTAAAATCTTTAAACCTACTACTTAAATTCTGTGAAATTCAAGATTTAAAGTGGCGGACGTTTTCGATTCACGTGAAAATTCCGATTCTGCTCCTTGTGAACTATCTCATTTTTGCCAAATTAGACAGTGACAACTACCGAATGGTTCGTTTAACAAATTAATTATTTCAGGTACACTACCATGTTTTGTGAACAAAACAGAACTGCATGGCACAGAGCGATCGATATACCTTCAATTCTCCACCAATTTATTATCTAAACAAGTATGACGTTTGCGAGATCTATGCCGAGCAAAAAGTGGAAGAGGAAAAATTCTTAGATCTTTTTATTTTCGCAACATTATGAAAATTGACGGCCCTGAAGACTTGGGAGGAAGCTCCAAAACATTCTCCGATCATTTTTGCCGCGAATCGAAGATTACGAATCAGTATCACCCGCAATTAGAGGTACGTGCATGTAGTCCATTCGATATGCGGATTTAATTCGAGTATCAACACAAATGTGGAGGTGTATGATTAAAAAAACTGAAGCTTTAGCACAATGGCCGACCACAGACTTCGTTAAAAATGCTGGCTAGATCGTTGATCTTTTTAATTGTTACCCTGGTCGCCAGGTCTACGTCCGATGGAGATGAGCTTGGACCTGAGCTTCATCCCACCCTTAGTAGAAATGAATACATCTCCCCCGGTGACATTGGCCATGCGAAGAGGAATAACCTCTCAAAACGAACCAGGGAGGAAAACCAAGATGAGAGTCTCCTATTCAAGACAGGTACCGAATCAGGATCACCTTCAAAATCACGGGTAAACTTGAATATTAATCCAGAAACGCAAACGATCGATGACTCGAACACCCCATCCGAATCAATATCGAACCCGAATCCAGTCATAGAAATGAGTTTCGCAAACGATGGTGCCTCGTCCGAAATCAGAGCCAAAGACGCCGCCGCCATGCCGGCAACGACGAGGCCGGTGAGCGATGTCATAAGAGCCCTTTTCGACCGAGGCAGCGGCAGAGTCGGCACGCGGGACAACATCTCCACCCGTGATATTGGCCATGCGAAGAGGAATAATCTCTCAAAACAAACCAGGGAGGAAAACCAAGACGAGAGTCTCCTATTCAAGACAGGTACCGAATCAGGATCACCTTCAAAATCACGGGTAAACTTAAATATTGATCCAGAAACGCAAACGATCGATGACTCAAACACCCCGTCCGAATCAATATCGAACCGGAATCCAGTCATAGAAGTGAGTTTCGCAAACGACGATGCCTCGTCCGAAATCAGAGTCAAAGACGCCGCCGCCATGCCGGCAACGACGAGGCCGGTGAGCGATGTCATAAGAGCCCTTTTCGACCGTGGCAGCGGCGGAGGGGGCACGCGGGACTGTTCCCACACCGGACGAGCGGCTAGCAAGAAGGGCTACTTCAACTGCAACCGCCCGGTGAGGAAGGGCGAGGCGGGACTCGTGTTTAACGAGGGCGGCGAGGGCGATCTCGAAGATCGACCGATGGAGTTCGAAGGGCTGCCCGC